CTTAGTCATGATTCTGATCGATCAGTTGAAATGTCAAATTTTCAAGAATATCATCTTATAACCATTTTCTTTTCACTGATGAATTTGAGTAGTTTCTATTAGTTTGATCTCTTAAAGATATTTAAGTAATACTATGGCAATACTCGTTGGTTTTAACTGACTCTAAAATTTGATGAAAACAGTTTTTTTGTTATCATTAAAGGGGTTTTCAATTTATGGTATTGCGTAAAGTTCTGATTACTCTCTGCTTCCTTTTTTTAAACAAAGACTTGTCTACGAGCATACGCAGGAATAAATTTCGAAGAGTTCTTTTCAATGTTGAAGTATATTTTAATAACTCGTTGGCCAAGAAGTAGTTCTAATGATGACGATGGTGTTAGTTCATTTCTGAAAAAGTGCAAATCCATGCAGTATACATCATTGGACGTGCTCAATAATGCTATGGATTATGAACTAACTAGTTTGATTGAAACAAATTTAGAAATATTTCAAACTGCTTTAAAAAATCCTCTCCTTTGGAGGAAGTATTATACAACAGACGTTAAGACATCTACTTGGATACGTATGCATGATTTTTGTATGGTAATACAAATTATCAAGGAATTTGTTCATCATGAAACTGTTAATACTCTACATCTTTGTAATGGTGTTTTACAATCATTTTGGAGTAGTCTTTAATTATATGTATATATAGAAAGGCGGATTTCAACATTTGCCAATATTTTCAGATTTTATTTATCATGTATTTATCGCGTATTGTTCATTTAATACTTTTTGTTGCTTTAGTCACTGTAATATTTTCAACAGCTTATGTGGATTTACTTATTGTGAAATAAATTAAATTTCTTCTATCTGATGAACGAATGCGCGTTGTTCTTCATTATCCAACATCAATATTGGCTAATTTATTGCTTGTTTCCGGTCTTACATACTGAGGGAAATCGCCTATAAGTGATTATTATTTGTCTACTATCCAGCATTTCCACAAACCTAAGAGTGCAGTCCTGGCGATTTCCTTTGTAGGTATATCCATACACATAAATTGGCACATGCAATTTTATCATAAACAAGGTTATTTTGAGGGCCACCAGTTGTGTGTAAGGGGTTGTCAACATTTCCGAGCTGCCTACAGTAATTGGGAACTTCAGGTAATTAAAAAGGAAACCGGGTTGGTGATGGTATTGACGATTTAATATGGAATATGGCGTAATTATTTTTACGATGCTTGACCCTATATGGAATATCAGGTCTTATTTTCTCAATAATGAGCAACTTGCCAACGTAATATCTTGGACGGTTTTTCGACCTCATTCACAATCTCGATTAGTTAACTCTTTGTGTAACGGTGTGATGTACGTCCTTTTTTTCGGGCGAATAAAGAAGCGCTTTAAATGTTACCTGACTTGTACTTCAGTAGATGCACATCTCTAGTGTTATCACCGTAACATACATTTTATAATTTTGGATAGACATCTCACTAAGTCATGTTAATATTTCAAAGAACAAAAGTTACGAGGAGTTGGGTATCGTTTTGTGTAAGTAGGTTTCCTGTAAATTGGTCTTTTTATTATGACTTTTACCCTTGTCAATTATCACGTGACAAAATCGCCAGTCAGAATACTGACTTGTATGACTTTGTTACCGTTCTAAACGAATAACGAGGTGTCAAATGGTATAGATGTTTTCAATGAACGTACCAAGTAGTTTAAGTGATATTTGTGTGAATTTTTCCTGCTTGCCGTATCTATGTCTCAAGAACATAAAGCGAAACAAGGTTATTCTGCTCACCTGACAGTCATTAATTGGTTTATTCCAAAATGGCTAAACACTAATTAGAACAATCTACGGATTTCTGCAGCATTACAGAGCACATGTTCATTTATAGATGGGTTGATGTACCTGATCCATTCCCCCTTGTAGTCTTTGCAAAATTTATTGCATCAAACCTTAAATGTTTCGGGCTTCTGAGTTCCGAAATATTAGGTTATTTCGAGATTTTCATTAGTCCTGTTTAGATAAATGTACGTTTCTTCTGATTCCATATTTCTTGTTTGCAAACAACTTGTAATAATTTTTTAGCGGTTGCTAATTACAGCCAAAATGTTAGGACCGAATAATTTTTGTTGTGTATGTTGCGAAACGACAAAGAATATATTTTGAACAATTGATATCGACCAGTATCTCGTTCATTCACTATAGAGGGATTATTTTAAGCAACATGGTATCTAAAATACTAGCCTCAATAATTATCGGGCGCCTAACAAAGACTGTGAACTACATAAACCTTGTGAAGGCTCTTTACTCGAACACCGCTAGTCGAGTCAGAGCTTATGGCGAATTGTTTTCTGATTTTGCAACCTCTAGTGGTGTCCGACAAGGCTGTCCACTATCTCCATTTCTGGTCAACTTCATTATAGACATACTGCGAGCATTGATGTCCTTCCAGGAGGTCCACTTATCGACTTAGAATACGCAGATGATATAGTCGTGTTTGGAGAAGACGCTGACAAAATGCGGTGTTTTTTGGTAGCACTAAGCAACCATGCCAGGAAGTTTGGAATGCGTTTTCGCCAACTAAATATAAGTTGTTGCTTCAGGACTGGCTTGCGTCAACACCTGAATTAAGGATAGGGAGTGAAGTAGTTGGACGCGTCGATAACTTATCTTGGAAATCTGGTCAGCTGTAATGCGTTGGTGTCCGACGAAGTCGTCGCACGGATTCAGAAAGCTCGTTTGGCTTTTGCCAACTTACGTCACCTATGGCAAACGCCAGATATCCGTTTATCAATTAAGGGCTGAGTATACTGCGCGGTAGTTCTTTCTGTTCTACTTTCCGGCTGCAAAACGTGGCGATTAAGGGTAGAGCATAGTTATAAGCTACTAGTATCTGGTCACAGATGCCTTAGAAATATTTCTCGCATCTGCTGAGATCACTGGATAAGTAATAGTGAGATTAGATGCAGGGTATTAGGGAAGGATGGTAAATCAATTGATGAGGTTGTGAATCTTCATCGACTGAGATGGTTGGGCCACGTGTTACGTATGCCTGAACACCGATTACTACGACGCGCAATGCTAACCGGCGTCGGTTACGGTTGAAAGAAAGTTAGGGGCGGCCAAACCAAAACATGGCATCAGTACTTGAAGTCACTACCTTCTGGTTTGAGCCATGTTGGTAGATGTAGACTACTTGTGTGGGGTCCGCTTGACTTTCGTAACCAATGGTTGGAGACTCTTGGTGACATGGCTCAGGACCGATCACGATGGCGTCCGTGTATAGACTGTCATTCTCCTTAACCATGATATTAGGACTACTCTACACCTTTCTACGAACTAATTCTTTCTACCTGTACCATATCCTTATATGCAATTTTTCTTTTATTATTATTATTATTACCACTATTGGATTAACTACTTCTGTGAGTCCAGTGTTCATCTTGCTGTACTAATGCGGTATGGGAACTTGAACCGATTGATATATGTGCCTGGTCTTACGTTGTAGCTAACTGACTGATTGACTTATTCGCTGATCTGTTTACGTGGAATTATTGTACTATTGTATTATTTAGGGCAAACCCAATGTTTTTTTGACAAAATAGTTTTCGGCATTCGCCCTACTTAATAGACTTGTAAACAAATGCCATATTACAGCCGAAGGATATTATCAATCGTTTTAGCTTTTGTCAAGCTGCATAAAATTACAATTGGTCATTAAAATGAATAATTAAGAACGCTTCTCCTAACTTCTGTATGTCTATCTGTATATTCAAGAACACGGTAAGTGATGTTATTTTGTTGGTGGAACTTACGAAATAACTACAAATAAATAAAAGTATTAAGGGCAGAAATTTAGAGAAGTCATTATTGGTCTGTCGATTGTGGGAGAGGATTCACTGTACGCAGTTGTGTTCACAGGGAACGTCATTAAAATTTGAGACTTGCTCTCGGATTTCATATACTCTTTCTGCCGCGTACGGTGTAATGCTAAATGAATCGGCGTATGATAATTTCTCAAACTGTCTTAATAAATGGTTGCGCCAACAATTTTTTCCTTGTAGATTCTTTATTTGTCTTGTGATCTGGAAATATGACTCCTAGTGTTGCCGTTAAACACGGTGTTTCACTCTTTAAACCACTGTTCCTGCGTTTGAGGCTGATTCACTTAGTAACTCCAAGTTTTCTAACCCTCTTTGCCATTATTAAAAATTTACGAACAGTCTATGTTTTTAAGCGAAACGTGAAATTTTGAGTTTGATCGGAGTGTAAGTTGCCGACTTAAAATTAAGAATTAACATCGTTTCAAAATTCAAAAATTAACTGGGTTTATGATGTATTCAACTCCATAATTCATAGTAGTCCTTCGTGTAAATTGACGATAATACTTAATCATTTGATTCATGGAAAACCATCTACAAATCCTCTTTCACGATATGGATTTCAAGGATAATTACTGTATCAATAAGTTGCTTAAAGCAAGTTATTGTGTAGTGAACGAGAACACAAGTGGGGGGACAATCAAATGTATTGGTACACAAAATTACAGAACACCTTACTAAAATCTGAGAACCATACAGTAAATAATTGATATGAAAAATATCGATCAATTTTGTTAAACTTGAGTGTTTCTTTGCAGATGTCAATCATTCATCCCATATTTCACTATTCCTTCATTTTCATACCAAACACTTTCTGTTCCCGTTCTTTCCTTCTCAATCTTCTGCTGCCAGTTATTCTATTCCTGATTCGCATTATATACTACTTGTGTCAATATAAGTAGCATACACACACCACAACTGTTCTATTAAATATACTTTATGTAACTCAGAGATATTGAATTTTTCATAATTCAGCTTTTTTAATTAAAACTAATCATCAATGAATATTTACAGATTATTGCTTATCAGTTGTCAGCTATTATCATTCCATTAATTTGTTTGCCAGAATTATACTACTAACAGAATTTAGGTAGTATAAAATCAAAGTTATAATGATTAAGTTCTGATTTATTTATTTATTTATTACATTAAAACGCTCATTAGTTTCTTATTAATTTTCTGTTTCTATTATATTACTTTGATAAAGAAAATAATCATACTATAAATGAATAATTGAAATGAAACATTTATGTTATATGTAATTTATGTAAATTATTGTTATATATTCGGGCGTTTTATTTTAATTTTTCATACTGTTAAGGTAGATTCATTTATGTTAGTCTGTAAAATATACAAACTAATATTTATCAATGTAGTATCCCATTTTTGTTTTCTTTTGTTTTTTTTTTAAAAAAATGAGAAGAATCTTTAAAGTTTGTGTATTAAATTATTTTACAGGATACAATGAATAGAATTCTATCTTTGAAGTATTTCTTATAGCTAATAAATATTCAGCTTTATTTTCTTTTCAGAAAAATTTCTCTTTTAATAATTGAAAATAAAATAGATGTTGTTTACAGGTGATCATGATCGTTATTGAAATAATAATAATAATGGTAATAATCTTTTAAAATCATTTATTGATTTATGACAGAAAATATATGATCACTTCCTAATTGTTGAACTACTACTATCATCTTCGTAATGGATATTAGAAGTTTCATAGATTTTGATTATTCCTTCATTTTTATCAATATTATGTTCGTCTCTTGGTAGTTTGTTGTTACGATGTCTGCTACTGCTACTATTATTAGTAGTAGTGATATTAGTCGGAGTTGGTGATACAGTAGGTATAATACGTGAGGTATTTGATATGTTTACATTTTTCATTGCTTTATTTGTACTAGCTATAAGGTATTGATCATGGGATCGTGATGATGACGATGGTATTAATGCTGATGATAGAGTCTCGTTTGGAACAGATGATCGCGGGGGTGATGATGATGATGATGATGATAATTTGAATGTTGAACAGGATGATTTCTCTTCGATATTGTCTGGATATTTTGAATGTGATAGTTTTATTTCTTCAGTATTATTATCATTCTGTCTAGAATTTCTTCTAAAGTTATAATTTGTTTGTGTAAATTTTGGAAATGTTTTTTCAGAATGTTTATTACAAATTTTATTCTGAATAATATCTAATTTATTTTCATTTGTCAATGAATTGTATGATGTTGATACAATCTGATTACTAATATCATTATTATTAGTAGTTTCTAATTCATTTAATAATTTTTCATTATTCACTATTAAATATTTATTTTTAATTAATGAAACGAGTTCTTCTTTTAATCCAATTTTGATTTCATTCTTAAATTGATACCAATCATCTATATATAATCCTTTAACTGTATTAATTTTATTATGTTTATTAGGTAACCATGAATAATCAAATAATATTTCATTCATTTTTGTTAAATAATTAATATCTTTATCATAATTTAATGAATATTTCTTTTTAGAATCTTTTATTTTAGAATTCATTGAATCTAATATTTGATCAGTAGTATTACTCATTGAACTATAATGTTGTAATGAATGCTTTTTTTGAATATTGACTGATAATGGTAATTCAATTTCAGATTTCGGTAGTGTTTGTTGAATAGAAGTAATTGCATTTTGATAAGATGATATTGTACAATTTGTAGTGATAGGAGTAGTGGTATTAGTAGTAGTAATAGTAGAAGAAGAAGAAGAAGCAGCGGTAGCAACATTATTCGGTAAGAGAATATTTTGTAATATTGAATTTTGTTTACTTAATTCACCAACAAGTTCTTGTTTTAAACTTTCTAATTGACAAACAGCACGTACAACTTCCCGTTTTCTATCTTCACGTATTTCAAATCTATAAATGTATTAAAATGTTTTTGTTTAAAATGCTTTTTTTTCTTTTTTTTTTTGTTGTTGAATAAATTAGATCAGAATTTTAATGGGAATTCAAGGAATAGAAAATTCCTTAAATATTTATGAATATTTAATTAAATTCTTTGCATATGTATATATTGACTATGTAAAATTCTAAAGTAGATATCATGTTGTTTTAATGTAATATTACAATCTTTAGAAAGATTGACATTCGTGTTTAAGATTCAAGCTTTCGTTGTTCAAAGTTATATGTAACACTTTTCTCTAGATTTATTCATTCTACGAATGAATTTTTATTCAAAATAGATTAGGGATATTTAAAAAATGATCAAATAATTATTATTGGATCATAGTATTAGCTACGGTTAATGTGTTCCAATCTCTTTACCAACTCAAATCTGCCTGGAGCCCCTCTGTGGCTGCTGCCGGTCCTAAGCCCGGATAAGGGTGGAGGGTTAGGTATGGGGTTAGCGACCTCATCTCGTAGAAAACTAACTCGCTAAAAAAACGCTAACCAGAAAAAAATTATTCAATTCTTTATCAACTTAGTTTTCAGGAGTTCATATACAGTGATGTATGACACAGAATCATCTCGACTAGAAATGAAATGACATTGACATAGACAGATTTACTTTAATTTTAATTAGACTAAATATTATGTCTCGTTTCTCTATATTATTTAAACGGGTGTTTATTTTATTTCGGTTATTTATTTATTTCGAGGTAGTGACTTATGCTGAGTCAAGAAATGTTGGAAATTCGTATTGATACTCATTGGGACGTCACAAATCTACCACTGTATCCAATATTCAGTTTCTTTGAAATTATTAAGTCTAATATTAATAATGGTACTAAGATATTGTGTACTACGTGAATGAACAAGCTGATATATATGCAGTATACTGAATCAAAGTTGTTTTCTTCTGGAAGAAAACTTAGTTCATAAAGAATCAATGCTATCAGATCCTCTAAAATTTAGCGGTCAAATTAACCATTGTATTATTTTAAATTTCAATCCTTACAAATTGTATTTTGGTGTACATGAGAAGTTCTAGATTCATTCTGTAATTCATTTAGTGTACTTCTTTATTTCATAGTGTGTAGTGCTCACAAATAATTTTTTATTACCGTTATGGTAATTAAACATAGTTTTTGTTACCTTAAACTTGATATATCCTGTTTAATTTCCAATAGATCATCTTCATTCACTCCATCTTGTCTCATTGTTTTCTTCGATTGATGTATATATCTTCTTACAAGTCGACGCATAACTGTCTGTAAACAAAAACAAGGATTGATATGTATACGTGACTTGAAATGTTGTTTAACAGTGAATGGGGTGTACTCAATTATTCTACTAGTCAAAACTTGAAGATTTAAATCATGTGGATGTATGTATGATAGAAAACATGCCACTTACTGAATACATCTTGTAGTTCACTTTTTTACAGCTCGAGTGCAGCACAAATTTAGATTTTAAATCCGTGTACGCCCGTTTCAGATTGTACATCATGAACGTTAATCATGAATGTAGTTCACTAGTTATTCCTATATTTTAACAGATATGTGTTTAATTATTTATCTTATATACATTATCTTTGGTTTATGTCCCAGTCTGCTGAAATTATAACTGCTTGGCTATTTAAAATTTTCATAGTTATCGTATGAGTCACTTCGTTTAACATATAGGTTTTTATAATCTAACAGACTGACTCAATCTTAAAATCTAACCGTTGGTTTGGTCTATAGTTTCGTAATGTTCTAGTGTAATTGTTTGAATATAGACGTTTTGTTTGAATGTTTTTCGGACACTTTCAATGTTTTTAGTTCCAGGAAGCACGAATGTCGTTTTAAATTTCTACAGTATTCTATTCAGAATCTAATACTTTATTCAAATTAATTTGAATAATAGTAATTATTATTTCATACTTTTATTGTCTATTTTGGTTTGAACTACTCGTAATGTATTGAGTAGCATAAATCGAAAGAGCATTTGGTAGTATCAAGGGTAATTAGAATAGTCTTTAGTAAAGGAGACATTACATTCAAGTAAAATTAATTTTAATTAAACCACAATCCGTTAATTTTAGTTTAAATGAATATTAGATGGGATTAATTGGCCTATTATTTATTTTTTTCCATTGAAATGATATTTATTTTTCGATGGCCTAAAACATTTAGTGGGCAGTACCTGATTTCAGATATTTGACGATTATTTTAACTTATTTTAAGGACAATATTGCTCACAGACCTGAACCTACATTACCGAATGCTGTAGTCAGATTCGTTGTCACTGAAATGTTCAGACTTCTACTAAAGTGCTTTATAGAATTGAGCTAACCTTAATCATCAGTCGTTAACTATTGGCTAAAGTTAAGTTGTCTACTCTTTACTGCTAGCCGAACTCTACCAACCAGGCCTCTGTTGGATTCAAAGCCGTATAGTCGGTGAAATGTTATGAAAATAATTCACATTTATATCTTTATCAAAAAGTGAACCAACCACATGATTATGACAGCCTTTTGTGGCTTAATGAAATCGGTATAAATAATACTGTTTTTTTAAAAGGATTTGTAGTTTGGTCCACTAGTATCAGGTAATTAGAATTTATTTCATAAAAAACTGTGTTGTGACATTACATTGATGGATTGATCTGCTTTCTTTTTTTCATTTCATTCTAACCAGACAAATGGTTATCATGAATAAGAAAACCAGGTCTTTCCTTTTGTATTAGTTGTAATCTTACTTTCAACATTTCATTAGAAAGTCATGATATGCGGTTGAAACCTTAGTTTTAATATTTTAAGAAGTGGATAGTTTGGTTAAAAACATATGTTTCTCTGGGATTCCAGTTATAATTAACACCATATGGACAGTATGATTGACATTCAACTTCAGATTTCTTTCACTGTAAACAAAATTTTATAGTATGATACTATTTAAACAAATCTGTTATTATTTAGCTTCAATACATTATACTCCTTTTTAAGTATTATTGATATTTGAATAAATGTTTGTATCTCACATATGTGATTAGTCAGTATATTTTTCTTGTTTATGAAAAGTATTATAATGGTGTATTCTTTTTATACAAGATGATATGAATAAAATAGACCAGTTTTAAAGGATGAGATAGAGTTTTAGTAAATGTTCATCTGAACTTTTGTCTTGAAAACAGAAAAAAAGGAAACAACAACCAGGTTTCATATTAGCCTACGTAGTTGTTGTTGTTGGGTTGTATTTTACATTAGATCTCTTTAACATCATTTATACAATTATTAAATAGTATAGCATAGTATATTAAAGATCAGAAGAAATCCCATTAATTATTTATTAACTGATTTTATTCAGGTAATCATATGTTGTTATTTAATTTCAATTATATAATAAACGTTATCATCTTTAAAAATTTACTAGATTCTTTAAATAATTTAGAATTAATGATAATGATTGAACTTTATTAAGTCGTTATTTTAATATTTTTAGTTCAGTGCTTCCAGATTTTCCATGGTAGTCTAGCTTCAATTGATTTATGATCTCAACTAATAAAATTACTATAATATCCACAGAACCCCTTTTGATATTAGTCAATATATGCTCACTAGTAACGGTCTCCAAGAAGTATCTCCTGGAGTTCTAGTGAGAAGTATTGACCAGTGGAGTTCAACCAGGTCTTCTGTAAGATAGTAACTCACTGAAGACAATGGTGAATGTGTCGATTAATTTCGTGAATTAGTTGAAGTTAGACATTAACATCGTTGGATACCGGCCAGCTCAGTAGTCTAATGATGAAGAGCTCGCGCGCGAGACATATAGGTCCTGAGTTCAAATCTCGTGAGGCGGAATCGTGGATACACACTGCTGAGGAGTCTCACAATAGGAAGAAACGGCCGTCCAATGCTTTCAAGTTTTCCATGGTGATCTAGCTTCAATCGACTTATGATCTCAACTAATAAAAGAAAATTATGGTTGAGAATCTTGTAACCTATGGAAGAAACCTTGAAAATGTTTTTTGTCTTATACTTACTTCAAAGTATAAATTGAATTCAATGAAAGAATAAGAGGTTAAGGATTATATTTTCTTTAGACTTGATTTTTAATAGATTGCTTGTTTGTTTTGTGTGTTTTTTTTGAAGAAAAAAATGTTTTAGGCAATTAAAAATGATTTTGATAAGAATCCATGTAATAGCAAAAAAAAGTTGTATGGAAACAACAATAATAAAAACGTGGTTCACAGTTTAAAATAATTTATTTCATAGCTGTTTAGTATTTCACTCGTATGTTTAAATATCACCATTTATCTCCTATATATATATATATATATATATATATATATATATATATATATATATATATATATATATATATATATATATCTGTAACTCCGCTTGGAGTCCCCCCGGGGGCTACTGCTGGTCCCAAGCCCGGGTAAAGGAGGAGGGTTGGGCATGGGGTTGACGACCCCAGCCCGTAGAAAACTAACTCAAATAATAACTTAAAAATGTTGTATTTGTTAATATTTATCTCATTTTATTATTGATTAATCACTAGGACTGAATTAGTTCTTTTTTTCGTTTTTAAAAGAACTACGAAATTGTTTTCCAAGAAATACTTTTGCTTGATTTTGATAATTGTTATTCAACTGTCAGTAATTTGTTGTTATGACAGCTTTTTAAATAGTTACTTTATTACTTATCAGTAATAATTAACTGTTTTAAATGAAAAGTGTCATTTACTTATTTTCTAGAAGTCATGGTTACTACTTTTATCATTAACAGTTATATTAATCCTAAGTTATTATCGATCCTATTATTATTATTACTATTATTATTATTATTATTATTATTATTATTAGTAGTAGTAGTAGTAGTAGTAGTCATGAAATAAAAATGTAATTGGTTTGTAGGGGATCCATTCAGTATAATCTATCAATTGTAAAAAAGCAATTCATATTCTTACGTATTGATCGATCACATTATGAGTTTTACTAAATAATTTCTGAATGGGTTTTGTGGAGATTTTATAGAAATTTCATTGGTTGAAATCATGAGTCAATTGAAGCTAGACCTGCTCACTAGTGACTGACTTCAGGAGACACTCCTGGAGTTCTAGTGAGAAGTCGTTACTAGTGGAGTTCAACCAGGTCTGTTGTGAGATAGGAACTCACTGAAGACAATGTTGTACGGTGGCGCAACTTCGTAGATTGGTTGAAGTCAGACATTAACATCGTTGGATACCGGCCAGCTCAGTGGTCTAATGGTTAAGTGCTCGCGCGTGGAACCAGTAGGCCATGGGCTCGAGTCCCACGGGGTGCGAGATCGTGGATGCGCACTCCTGAGGAGACCCATACCGGGACGGACCGGCCGTTCAGTGCTCCAAGGATTTTCATGGTGGTCTAGCTTCAATTGACTCATGATTTCAACCAATGAAATTTCTAGATAATTTCTATTAGTGAGTATGAGAATATTTATCAAAAGAATATTCAATAAATTTGTGCATATATACTTACATGTACACATAATTAGAAAAGAGACAGTATGATAAATCATACTAATCTATTAATCTTTCTTTTTTTCATCCCATTTTTTTATATTTAATTGACTCTTTTTACTTTAAAATATGTATCCAATATATTACTGATCATTATTTAAGTAGGTGGTAACAAAAATCTCTTCTCAAATAAACTATACATAATATATATTAGTATAGTAACGCCCAAAAATGCCAGTTTTATGCATGCATATATATATGGGCAATTGTGAAATACAGTAGTTTGATGGAAAGAAAGATTTCACTAAAAATGTATAAAGGATTTTAATGAAGTAGATAATGATAATGGAGAAAATGAAACAAGAGGGAATAACTAATTGATATTAGAATATAGTTCGTAGTTTTCAAGGTTTCAGGGATACAATGTTCTTACCTTTTAAACAATAATGTATGTAATATTATGTGTAATTGTCGACAATATCAATCAATACAAGTGATGAATATTGTTCAACAATCATTCAATTTATCAGTACAGAAGAACATTTTTAGGTATGTGATAAAAATACATTGTAGAGGATGTAGAAAATACTATCGCAATATAATCTTAATGTTTGATAGTCTCTAAATGAGAGAACTAATTTATTCTGGGATATTCTGTCAAAAAACAAAATAGTGTATTGAACTGCATCTGATCTTAAAATTGTTTGATCGAAATCAGGTCACGAGGATTCGATAGGTTTATCTGTTTAATCCAAAATGGGTAAAAGTTAACTTGGAAAAGCAGATGTAATTACTATAGCCTACCGGAGGAGATAGTCAAAATAATACGGAATTCATACAAAGGACTACAGTGCAAAGTCTTGCATGGAGGAAAGCTGACGGATGCATTTCAAGTAAGGACCGGAGTCAGACAGGGCTGTTTACTGTCCCCCTTTCTCTTACTTCTGCTGGTCGATTGGATTATGAAAACCTCTACATCTCATGGGAAGCGTAGAATACCATGGACAGCTTACATGCATTTAGACAATTTACACGTCTCAGATAACCCGGCTTTTCTATCCCATGCACACTGACGAATGCAGGTAAATACAAGTAATGTAGCAGCAGGCTTCGAGATACACAAGCGAAAAACCAGCATCCTCAACACGGAGAACATCAACCCAATCACACTTGATGAAGACGTTCTGGAAGAGGTAGAATCTTTCACAGCATCATTGATTAACATAGGGGATTTGATGAAAATGTGGATGCAAGGACTGTCAAATCAGAAGCTACATTTCTACAGTTGAATTATATATGGAACTCAAAACAACTGTCTCTAAGCCATCATCAAACTCACAATCTTCAATACGAACGTCAAGGCAACCCTACTGTATGAAGCTGGAACGTGGAGAACTACCACAACCGTCATCAACAAAGTACAAGTATTTATCAATAAATATCTACGTAAGATACGAAATGTTCACTGGATGAATACCATCAGCCACAGCCTATTGTCGGATAGAACAAACGAACTTCCATCTCAAGAGGAAATTAGGAAAGGCGCTCGAGAATGATAGGACGTACATTACACAAATAATCAAACTGTATCACGAACTGAGCGATGACTTGTAATCTGGTAGTCAAGGAGAAGAATGGGAGACCAAAGTACATTAGGAGCAGATATCAAAAGAATAAGTAGCAACTGGAAAGGAATGTCCATGACAGAGTTGGATGGAGAATGCTGACTGGAGGTCTTTGCTCCTACACGACGATGTTTAACATTATAAATGTATTTCCAAATATAATTATTAAGTTTTCGATTTCAATTTATATTTGTTTTTTTTTCCATAAAGACTTTTTAAAATCTTAAATTTTTAAGGGAAACAATCAAAGTATATATATATATATATATGGAATCCTATTTACGATTACGAAATTATCTGTATATGATAATAATAATAATAATAATAATAATAATAATAATAATAATGATAAGGCTGATGTGACACGGTTAAGTACACGTTTGTAGATGGACTAATGTACTATTTGTAGAATAATCGGTTAAATTTGAAAATATTTCCTATCGAAAATGATGCAAAATTACTTTTCGGAAATAAGAAATAATGAAATTTTCTAGTTGAATTTATGAGTCAATTGAAGCTAAATCACCATGGGAAACCTTGAAGCGTTGGATGGTCATTGCTTCCTAGTATGGAACTTCTCAGCAGTGCTTATCTACGATCCCGCATCGTGAGATTCGACCACAGGCCCTATTGGTTTTGTGCAGGAGCGCTTAATTTCTAGACCACTGAGTTGGCATCTAAAGCTGTTAATGTCTAAATTCAACCAATTGATTTACAAGTTATTATTCACGGTGAATCTATAAAATTACTAAAACCTCCAACAAAATAATGGCATATCAAGGGTTTGACGATATATGATTTTGAGAAAGAGATAAGAAATTTCATCACTCTGAATATGGATTTCACAAGTAGTATCTTTTCTAGATAGCACTAGTAGTGGATGGTGTAAATTTTATTTTATTTATCTTTTTTAATTTCAAAAACAAAAATTTTAAGGGTTAAATCAAAATACAAGATCACCTAGTAAATGTAGTAGGACATTTATTTATTTTAAATAACGCCACAATTAAATGATTAACCAGTCCCATATATTGTTGAGTTGTTTCTTCGGCTTAAAGGATTCTAAATCGATCTATTTATGATAATTTATTCAATGCTTATTTGCTGGTGTTGAAGAATCATTGACTAATCAAGTTGTGTATTTTTTTCGGGATAATACAGAACAATTTTGTTGTATTTGTTAGTTTACTATATATTCATTTTTTTGATTGAGATCATGAATTGATTTATGTTAGAGAATCACTGAAAACCTGGAAGCACTGAACGGCCGTTTCATCCTATTGTGGGACTCCTCAGCAGTGCATATCTTTGAATCCCGCTCACGGGATTCGAACCCGAGGCCTTCAGTCTCACACGAGGACGCTTAACTTACTGGACCACTGAATCAGCATCCAACAGTGTTAATGTCTAACCTCAACTAATCCACGAAATTGTGCGATCATCTTCCACTGTACTGAGGTAGATACCTGTCTCTACCTGACATGGATTAGCTCCACTGGTCACGGCTTTACTTGTCTTTAATTGCTAATCAGTATTTTTTTAAAATCTTTTACATAATTGTAATTACAGATCAATGATTTAAAATTGTGTTATGAATAGAATATGTTCAATACTTTTAGTAGCTATAATAAGTTATTTAGATAATTAGAAAGTTCTCTATTATCTCAATCTAATGAGGTCAATATATTATGAATTCTATGAAATCGATCACAGATGAAGGTTTAATCAGTGAAAATGTTTAAAGGAAATGTTATTCGTTCTTCTCTTGAAGATAATATTTATCAGAAACTTTGAGTAAAGTTGAGAATGCATAACGATTTGTAATGAGTACCATTTTTTATAATAAGTTCAAGTAATATTATGTAATTTATCTAATCGACGAAATCAAAATACAACGTTCGATCAGTTTGTCTGTTTCAAATCATAGAAGTTGTTTAAAGAAAATGATTTTGGATTTATTAGATCACATGATAAACACTGGATTATTTCCTCCGCTTAATGAAGTATGATAATTGTTAATTCTTTTAGTGAAATTCAAACAATCATGGTAACATAATTCGGACACTATGCATGGGTCCAATCGTAGTGTTTCATACTTCAATGCTAGCAGTCACATTTTTACCAAACATTTTTAGTGCTTACCATGTTATAGCTCACTGATAAGGTTTCAACTTTTCTTAGCGTAGAACATGCTGATCAATCAGATAAATATCCATGTACATTTAAATTTATAGATTTAGTTAAGAAATTAATTACAATATGAATAAAATAGTCTGTTAATTGTTATTTAGACACATAACACAGAATGTGTTGCTAAATATGTAGCTTATAGCTGGGAATGTTTAACGAATATTTATTTTAAATATTTGAGATCATGGGTCAATTGAAGCCAGACCACCATGGAAAACCTGAAAGCACTGGATGGCCGTTTCGTCGTATTATTGACTTCACCAACAATAGGAAGAGACGACCTTCCAGGTTTTCCATGGTGATCTAGTTTCAATTGACTCATGATATGAACTATTGGAATAACTATAATATCCACAAAAACCCCTTCGAGTATTTATTTACCAAAAACAACGATAGCTTTGGTGAATATATTTAATGATCTCTCCAAGCAAATTTTTCAAAAAAGCAATTCACATTAATTTAATGATTTCTCTAACCTGATAAAAGGTTTTTCGTTTACTTTGTTTCGTTTCTTTTATAGACTGCTGAAATAGAAGAAAAAAACATTAGTAAACATATTTCAATCAGTCAGATAAAATTTACTTGTCTTTGAAGATTTTCAATAAAACTAATCTTCTTAGAAAATCAAGTTAATACAAAGATTAGTTTATTTCCAATTTTAGAGATTTGTAGTGGCTGGCCCTAAGTCGAGACTGTATAGCTTATTTCAGCTTACAGACAAGCCAATTTATCTATTCTTCTCAAGCTACATTTTGACCTTGTTAATTATTCACTTATCAACGTTGGCTGTTTTTTACATGAGTGTATATGTGTGTATATTCTTTCTTATCACATGTTTGTAGATTACTTTTGTGTGACTATAAATATCGATTAACTCTTGATGAAGTGAAGTTGGCTCAGTCACCTCCATTGAGCGTCATTTTGTTTTACTTCACTTTCTGATCAACGAATGTATGAAATATATTTATCCAATCATTCATTTTTCGTATTTGACTTATTTATTTCCGTTATTGACCTATGAGATTTAAGTCAATAATTTTATACGAGAATAGCCGACATGTGTATTTTATACGATCCAATTGGAGTCAGATAGGGGGCTACTAAAGATAATCATTATATAATATTATGTTGCAATATCATATTATTTTAGAATACAATTATAGAATTGGTGCATACTAAATTCCTTTTATCTATCTACATTTAGTATTGTTTATGACAATGTGAATTTCATAATTACGTCATATTTAAGAGAAACGTAAACTTTTCTCATCTGTCAAACCTCTTTTTTAGTATTTTGTAGATAAACAAAATTAATATTAATAAGAATTGGATGGATTTAAGATAGTAGACTGAAATACTGTACCACTTCTTAATTGGTTTTTGTTTACTGATCAGTACCATTGTTTATATCTATCATTGATCTTATATTAATTAAACAAATTGGCTTCTAAAAATTGTTGTTCAGTCTGATCACTTACTAACACTACTTAATGAATGTTTTCTATAGATCAAAGTTTCCCCTAAAAATCATCTTTAATGTTGAATGAAATACAGTTATAAAGTTCATTTATCATTGAGTAATGATTTATCTTTTCTCTAAAGCGTAATTATTTCGTTAGTAATGTATTAAATTTCTCTCAGTTATACTACTAAGCCTAGAATTAATTGTGTCATTACACAAATAAGCTATTGAAATTCTAGCTTTTAATTAACCCATGAACGCTTTTCTGTTTGTAATTAAATAAATGATGCACCATGACAAATATTAGTATGGAAGTTAAAATGTTGTTCTTGTTGACCTTATACATGTAATTGTTACTTCTTTGGGAGATCCAACTAAAATGAAGAAGTAAACAATGATATGTTTAAGGTCAACAAAAACCAATCAACATCGAGATCTACAAGATAAGCTATGAACCATGTGTAGAGAAATTCGAACACGTCACTTCTACCTGAAGTTTGTGCTGATAGTGTTGTTCAGAAGAACGATGAATGCTCCACAACCGAGATCATCCAGCTTAGAGAACAAAACACCGTCAAAAAACACTTATAGAGACTCTCAACTTCAATCAATTCATGATTTAGTATGATGATCTTTCATTTCAATTCATGATAACTGTTTAAATGCCGAAATCGCTGTATCAAACCAATGACGACTTCTCACGAGAACTTCAGGAACTCATTTCGAAATGAGTCACCATAGAAACTACGATTAGAATATTAAAGCAGAAGTATGTAAGCGAATTATATTTACCTCAATAATTTTTCATCTGGTTCTATAGTTATCAGTCTAAACTAATAGTTGCAAGGAATAATCAAGTTTATGACATACATTTGAGATTGTTGGTCAAATGAAATAATTAGCGTCAAATTAACTAGTATTGCCTGTTAACTTGATTAAGTTTATACTTTAATTGGAAGTGTAGAATTAATAATCAGAATAAATGGTAGATAATATAAGTATAAGAGGAATATTATCAATAATACTGATACAATAATGCAGTAATAAATAGGAAGTATAATAAAGCTTCAAATTAGTCAAAAGTTTGATATTAAATTTTAAACATAAAGATTAATGAAGATTTTTTCTTTACCTGAAGCTGAAAAGTCAACTAAAGTTTAATGAAATAAAGTGATAAATTTTATATTTTCATTAAGTTAAATAGTTGATTTATCAGTGAGACTATAACTTATGAACAACCTTTGAGCGAGGTTAGACTGATCTTGAGAGTGTCCACCTAATAACCAGGACCGAATGAGTGTTTTAAACCTATGCGCGGTTTTTAGAATTATGATTTATATTTGATGATTAAGGTTAGAAATTAGATTTAGAATTTTCATTACGAACTGACATCAGCTATAATTGCCAAAACTCTATTTAACCAAATAGCTGAGTGAATTTGGCGCCGAAATCCGAGACCTGTTATCGTACACGTGATCGATTCGTCGATTTATCTTCGACTTTTTACAGAATGAAATAGATCTGATCTATAAATTGTATAATGAATATTTGCTTGTTAAGATATATATTAAGGTATCATAAGTTAGAATATCTAAAATTCGATTGATTACTTCTCGTTACATAAAAGTTATTACATTTAGGTATTCGTTTTATCACCTCATCTATACGTTACAGCAATTCTAACATAAACTTTGAAAACACATAACTCTTTTTTTAAAAACAGTAAGTATAATACATTGTTTTTAAACAAAAATTCTGTCAAATACAAAATACATCTGTGTAGCTTGACTTTATTGATTAGTGCAATCACTGTCGGTAACTAAGAACTTTCGTCTAAATTTGATCGAACAGTTTCACAGTATTTGGGCTCCGAATTAATGTAAGACATTAAAGGGGGAAGAATGTACTTGTAAAATCTAAGTGAATGAATTTCGAAGTAAATCCAAAGCTTGAACCAGATTGCTAGACGAAACGTTGGATTTACTTCAAAATTCACCCACTGAGATATTACAAATACATTCTTCCTTTTTTATTGTCGGTAAATGTTTAACTATTTTTCATCATTTATGTCACTAACCTTCATAATAATAGAATAATCAATGAAATGGCGTAGGTTTTTTTCTTTCTTTTGGCTAGTTTAAAGTTAGTTCATCATTCTATTCATTAATTGTATTACACAAAAATATGTCTAAGCCTAAATAACAATCATTAAAGTTTATTAATTTCAACAGTTGAGATCATGAGTCAATTGAAGCTAGACCACCATGGAAAACCTGGAAGCACTGGACGGCCGTTTCGTCCTATTGTGGGACTCCTCAGCAGTGCTCACCCACGATCCCGCCTCGCGGGATCCGAGGCCAGGACCTATCAGTCTCGCGCAAGGCGTTTAACCTACTAGACCACTGAGCCGGCATCCAATGGTGGTAATGTCTAACTTCAACAAACCCACGAAATTGAGCGACACATCCACCATTGTCATCAGTGAGTTACTACCTCACAACTGACCCGGTTGAGCTCCACTGGCAGTCCAGTGCTTCCAGGTTTTCCATGGTGGTCTAGCTCCAATTGACTCATGATCTCAACTGTTGAAATTACTACAATCTCCACAAAACCCCTTCTGATATTAAAATTTATTCTTTAATTTGAATAAGTAATTCGATTGGTTAATAGTTAAATAGTAATAACGTTTGACACAAATTTTATCAGTTGGATCATACCTTTTATCTTTATAATGAACCGAAATTCAATGACAAGTATAACTATGCATTTAGAAAAGCTTATCTTTTATTTTTTTTGAAAAAAAGATTTCTTTCTTACTTGTTTTTGTTTATTCACGACATCAAGATTGGAAAAAATTCCATTTGTATTTGTTTCTTGAATTTCAATATCCCATTCTGTTTGACTATTTTGTTGATTTGAATGAAGATTCAATGTGTTTAATTTCGTCTGTTTATGTTTATTACTATTACTATTGGTATTTCTTGACAGTTTACAATTTCGACATTTTTTTATTAATAAGATTATAAAATGAAATATACCACATAAGAATCTGATTATAGATTTAGGACTTATAATTGTATTCAATGGTGGTGGAAGCGTTGATCCTTCATCAAAATAACCAACCCATAGTTTACTTCGAGCAAATTTCCATTCTGTATCTGCATGATTCTAGAACAAAAAAATATAGACGTTCATTCATTATATGCATTTCATATATTCAAAAACTATATATTGTTGGCACATTTACGAAAATTTTTGTTAGTTTACAGTTCGAAGTTCAATTACCTGAGGGTTGTGGATTTGTAATACTTGGTGGCTGGTAACCTTATACTTTCGATAGAACAATGAGAAGATGGAGTTTATGTGAAAAAATGTTCCATCGAAATTTATAAAAGGGACTAATTGCTTTAAATATTATACTTTCCCGTTTTAGATTAAATGGCAAATATCGTTCCCCAATAAAGTTTCTATAGCTTGAGTAAATCTTAGTACCCATTCAAATAAATGACGATAAATGTTTCTTAGTTAAGTAGCATACCATATTACGGGTTTCGTAATTTACATGCAAGTTAACTTTTATTTATATCGTTCTACCAAGTTAAAGTGACCGTCTTTACTTATCTGATTTTTAACTGCTGTTAAATTGTTGTGGTTATATGTAATAAAGACCTGGTAGTTGATATTAAAGTACAAGATATTCGTTACTGAAGAATGATTCATAGCTGAATTACTCAAAATCTGTAAACATTGCCTTAATATCAATCTGATAATCAAGTATCGGGACAAGATCATGTCTAATGCTCATATAAATCACCATTTATAATTCAGGAAATATCAGAGATCTGCAAAACATTGAACTCAGTGTCACACTAAGGGGTGTAAAGCATTTTACATTTTGGTATAAGTGATGATTATAACAGCAAATAACTACTTCAATAATGTGATTCATATACCCTGTACGAGTTTATGTTTGAACTTGCGACCTGTTAGTTGAAAGCCAATACCTTAATCACCAAATCACCGTCTCTTAAATAAATAAAACTTGTTCACCAATCACAGATTTAAATACTATTTTGAGCCATATTGTTTATGTAAGGTTTGGTAAGGCTACCTGGGTGTTACTGGAATAGACAGCTACTGAGTGGATAACACTATGGCGTTTGAAGCGAATAGTACTGGGTTTGAGTCCCAGAATGAATATCAACTCTGAAATGCATATACATCCAGCTGACGAGTCCCAAATATAACGAAACACGCATCCTGTATTCCACTGCCAGTCACTATCCATTTTTGCTTATCAAGCTTGTGAACATATGCCAATAACAGACTGATCAATTGCAATCTTAAACCTCTACGGGAGGATTCAAGTAAACAATACCAAGTGAATTCAGTAGAATGATTTATTAAATAAATTAAACAAGATTCATCCATTCAACTTTGAATTTATGCTTATATTTGTTAAATAAACATGCTACAAGTACATTTTTAGGCCATATGAGAATGTTTTGAAATTTCTCTTCGATATCAACCAATTATACTGTTTAGTATAAATTATCCGAAAGAATCTATTGAAATACGTTGATACAATACATGTTAAATAATATAATATCTACGAGATTACACTTCCAGTTAATGTAACATTTAGAACAATATATATGAATGAACAATATTGTTTTCGATTAGATCCTCATCAGACTTTACTCTAATGTACAGTAATATTTATATGCATATACGAAATTATTAAACCAATCAAGGTAGTTTATGAGTCAATGATAACAATGGAAAAGATTACATAATAAGTGAAAAGTACAAATTGATAGTATGATGACAGGTGTACTAGTTTTGATAAGAATAATAAAGGTCTAAATCAATGTTACATAAACGGGAATAGGTCAATGATTAGAAAAATATAGATAGTGAAATAACATTCATAAAATTACGTAATAAGAAGGGTTCAGATAATTGAAACGTAAAGCGTCTATTTGAGAGGAAATAGAATGAAATGGTAGGAGGGGGTGAAGAAAAAATAATAATAAACGAAGAGAAAATATGGAAAATAATAATAAATAAATTCATTTATTAAGGCCAAGGGAGAGATAAGGGTGTTACAAATTTCTTATGAACACACAGACTTGGATTGTTGGCTCGAATTCCTATAGCTTCTGCTATGTGTAAGAGATGAGATCGAACACCATAAGAAAAACTAGTAGCAATACGATAAATAATTTTAAACGATTCGTTGCTGTCCACTACATGATCGCTATCGATCAAGTGTGATAGAACCGAGCTGTGTATTGTCTTGACATTACCTTTTCGTAACCACAAAGGGAAGTATTCACTAACTCTTTGGTTCAGTTGTCTGGTAGTTCGCCCAATATAACACATAACATTTGTCATTTGAATTGTTTTAAATAACACTACAATGTTTAAGGCAACACATCAATATAATTCAATACTTCAGTAATTCAATTAAAATTTGATTACACTTAGATAATTAAGTTCACTAATCTTATTTTAATCAGTTTGATAAATTATCTAAAAAAAAAACAAGAAATGTAATCGGAGCTATTTAAATGACACTTTATCTAAACAATTCGATTCAAATGAATCACTAAAGTTTATTATTCAGTAAATCTAAATTTCTTATAAACAAATTTAGGCCAAGAATGATTTACCGTTCATTTAATGAGAACAACAATAGTTATTAGAGAGAAAAGAAAAAAAAAACACAGAAACAAGTAAACTGTGATTACAATTTCTTCCAATAAATTTATTTTATTATTATACTCTTATTTCAAAAGGTAACTCTCATGGGAAACAGTTAACCATAAAGTATGTAAATATTACAATAGAAATAAAGATTTCAAACTTTATTTGTTGTTCAATAAAATTTTCTCTTTGCTTTTTTTTTCTTTTCAAAAATTTTTTTTTGTTTCTTTTTTTGCCATAGAAAATAAATCTCAATGGAAAAGAATCGAAATGTGCAATTTTTCTTTTTCCTATTACCTTGTTTCTTTGTTGTTGTTGTTGTTGTTGCTTGTTCCCTCATTTTTAAATTCAGAATTGTGAGTAGAAAAGAAATTTTTTATTCATCTAAAATATTTTTTTGGGTTTGATTTATTGTTAAATAAGCCCAGTTTAACTTAAAAAATCTTTTATCACACACTAAATCTATCAAGTTGAATTAAAAACAATTCGATAATCCACAAGTAAGTTGTACCTACTTCTCAACGCTTTCAGTTAATTTTATGAAGTAAGATCTATTCTTAAGAATGGAAAGTAATATGATAGAATAAATAGAATAAAAATTTACATTTTTCACTCATTCTGGGTTTTTGTTTAATGTTACTTCTGTTTTTAATTCAGTATAATTAATACTTAGCTTAATGTTTGTTTTAGTTTTAACGTGATATTTTGTACAGTATAACTCTGAGTTATTGTATTGCGATGTTTATAATATTTTTGGCATCATTTTGTAGTAATTCTGTGTATATCCCTTATGTGAGATGATTGTAAACTAATGATCAAGTTTAATTAAAATCGATGTATAAATGAGCGTATTTATTTATTACTTGAATTTGTTTCCAGTCTTGTGTTATCATTATAAATTGTCGGATTTCAGTTTTCAGTGTCAAGCACAAGTCAATTTAGTATTCTATAGAGAAAAGTCGCCTATGTATTATATATATAACAACTAATTGTTGAAAGTAGGAGAGTTTTAGCTGATTGATTCAACCTGCTTTGATCATCTATAGAATAAGATTTTCAACAGTTTTCATCGGTAGGTATCTACCAAATGGCCACAAAATGAAATGAATAGAGTTTCGCTGTTTGTAATATGAGTTATCTTAAGTTAACTAAGGTTCTAGGATATTTAAAATGTATTTTCTATTATAATTACTGGTTTTCTAGATAAATAGGAGTGATACCAAATATCTATAGTTGGATATTTATAGCTTTTGAAATTCATCATCCGCAAATCAGAATAATTTAAGGCCTTAACGTCCAGTATGTACTTTTACCAGAAAGATATTAAGTTTTTGTTACTATTTCTGGGTAAGCTGTCATTAAACGAATTTTTCTTTGTTTTCCTGAAGTTTTAATTCATTAAAAAAGATTCTATTTATGTATACTTGCAGGTAATCAGTAAAACGTTCAGTCTCATATCAAGGTTCCTTGAATGTAATTGCGTAGATATGTGTTTTGAGGAACTTTTTATTTTTTTTCTGCTTCTGGCCTTCATTTTTAGCATCTGAGCAGTCTACAGATTTCGCCAACACATGTATCATGTTTTAAGTGTTAGTTTAACTGTCTGTTATTTAGAAACAATGCCTTCTCTTGCATAACTACCAACAAGCAACAAATATATGCAGAACGAAACCTGACTTGAACATTTGTTTTTTACAACTCACTAGCTTAAAATTCCGGAATTCTTTTTATCGTTTGATTTAGTTTACCTGTGATAAGTTTAAAAAAAGATACATACAAAGAAAATATTTAACTGTTTATAATCCTGTGAAATTTTTGGCTCATATTTTCCTCTGTGTAACCATGATAGACTCTATTAAGTGGTTGACTCAAATATTATATTTCCTCAATGTAAACCTAGTGTAACTCAGTTGTCTAGCGTACGATTTTCTTACTTAAAGTGGTGTATGTAAGTTTTAAGTATCAATACTTAATTGAATGACGCCCTATATGTTGAAATGAAATCTAACAACTTTATCAATGAATTATCTCGTCTTATAATAACTCGTTGATAACCCACGTAAGCTATTTCATTTTTTGCTAAATAACTACAATCAGTTCAGATGAATGGTTTGTTAGACAAACAATTAAAACCTAACTTAACACTATCACGATTGATTTTTAATCCCATTTACCTATCCATGAAAACACTAAATATTTTCTTTTCTGTTACCCTCGGTGATTAACAGAATACGCAAAGATGATCTTAAGATTATTTGAAAGAACGGTCTTCAAATATGTGATTTTGTGAAGCTTTAAGTTAAAATAGGAAAACTTTAAAATAATGCTTTTAAAATTATTCATTAACAAATTCTGATTGTCCTGTCAGTAAATAAAACATTTTCTTAAACAAGTTCAATAGAACATTTATATTTTTTGATTGAGATCATGAACCGATTAATGTTAGTTCATCATTAAAAACCTGAAAGCACTAGACTGCCATTTCGTCCTACTGCGGGACTCCTCAGTAGTGCGCATCCACGATCCCGCACGCTGAAGTCGTACTTAGCACTTTCAGTCTCGCGCGTGAATGCTTAACCTACTGGGCCACTGAGCTGGCCGGCATCCAACAGTGTTAATGTCTATCCTCGCGCAATTTCATGGATTGGTTGAGGTTAGATTGTTAAAACAATATTATGATATTATATTGGTTAGCTATTTGAATACTAGCTACAAATAAACCTATACTTAAAAGCATAATTAAAAAATAGTTAAAATGAAAGCATTACAGTTTAATAATGCTATTCTTTTAAAAACATTTTATACTCTATACATGTACCTACCTGTATAGTTTGAAATGAATTAGACATCATAGCAATTAACATATTTACTAAGACTATAATTGCCATCGCATGATAAATTAATAGTAGGATTTCACCTACAACCATCGTATTTCTAGCTGATTCCATACGTTCACGTTCACCGCTGGTTTTATTTACAAACGTCACTTCAAAATTACCCGATTGACTGCTTCCAAATAAATGCCAAAATAATGTACGATATGAACTGACAAGTCTGTAATGAACATAGATATAAACAGAGATATATAATAATAATAATAATGAAAAAGATCAAACTTTTCCTAAGTTTCATAACAAAAAAACATATGTAAGCATACATGTTTCCTATTCCCCATTTTGATTATCAAAGTTCATTATTGATCTCATTTACTAGTATGATGTAAATATATTTCTATGCTTATTATTGTTGAATCTTCTTTTCTATATCTTATATATTTTCTTTAAAAATTTAATGAATGACTGCTATAAAATCAGCTGACAGACTTTTAAATGTCATATCGTCACGGAAACAACAATCATGGGTAGCTTGCCGCCAAAAGAATGAAAAATGGAAAACAACAAAGACAAATTATTATTATTGTTTTCAATAAGATTGAAACAACATCGGATGTAAAATGTCTTCACTAAATAGGTGGTTAGGTGAATCTTTCATTGTTTTGTATACAATAGTAAATTAAATAAGTCTATTTAGACATTTATTGAAAGTTCTTTTTAATAAGTTATAGTACTCTCTTAATATTAATCTAAACAAAACACAATTAAGATTATCAGAAGGGGTTTGTAGAGATTTTACAAATTTTCACGGATTGAAATCATGAGTTAGTTGAAGCTAGACCACCATTGAAACCTGAAGCACTGGACGGCCGTTTCGTCCTCAGCAGTGCGCATCCACGATCCCGCACCCCGCGGGATTCGAACCCAGGACCTACTGGCTCCGCGCGCGGACACTTAACCATTAAACCACTGAGCCGGCATCCAACCGTGTTAATGTCTAACTTCAACCAGTCCACGAAGTTGCGCCACCAGGTACCATTGTCTTCAGTGAGCTGATATCTCACAACAGACCGTCCAGTGCTTCCAGGTTTTCCATGGTGGTCTAGCTTCAACTGACTCATGATTTCAATCTGTGACAATTAAGATTGTTTAGTGAAAAAAACATTCCATATTCTAAATTGAATTAACCGAAATTATTTGACGTTGTAAATTGTGAAAATATCATCAATGAAACTTCCCAACTTTTTTATCCCATTGATTTTGGAAAAGAAAACGTTTAAGATTGGTTATATTAAAACTGATAGGTTAATTTTAATGATTGTATTTAGTGATATTTATTACTGTAGTGTTTTATGAAATTGTATTATCATGTAAAACAGATGTTAACCAGAAAACTTATTTTGTATTAGTTTCAAGACCTGCTTGAAATAAACGTCACATATGTGAAAGATTTTGGTATCTACAAATCAGTCAAAGAACATAGAACAACTAAACCATTAGATAATTATTCTTTAGTATATGCTTACAAGTTTAAAAAGTTTGAGATGTTGCGAATTCTTCAGTGTTATTAATGTTGGCACAAGAAATTTAGACTCTTGAATGAGTTACACGTAGTTCTCCTGCTTCACACTGGGAAAATTTGTAACTTGAAAGAAACGACTAAAGTGTTCTCTTAATAAAAATTTTTTTTACTATAAACGTAAATTTGCGAATAAATTTGTATTTAAATAGTACAGGACCCTCAAATGCCCTAGTACGGTCGAAAGTGATCAGATTACGCTCTCTCTCTCTCTCTCTCTCTCCCAGAGTGCTCTCATATGGCCACATGCATTCAACGACTGTCAGAAAATTCCTACTCACTGCCTTCTCGTAGCGGGTGTGCTGTTAACAAAAGTGAGAGGACGAAAAGCGAATGTCCGTCAGTTTAACCGGGTTGGTGGACACAGAGAGTCTACCTGGGGGAGTTGGAAAACCCTGATTCCATACCAATGGTGAACATGGGCTCCAGTATCCTGAAGGAACAAATGACGTATGAACCAATTGTTGGTCACCGGCTACCATAGGACTGCATCTCCTGACGTTGCTCCGCTGCCTTGTGGATGAAACCTTGATGTCGAAGGCTCCAGGTGTGGCCCCCTAAGAAAACCACCTGCTTTGGTTTGGGCACCCGGGCAGTATCACAGATCTCACACAAGTCAAATGAGATTTGTGTGTCGCATATGTATTTGGTGCCTCCTTGTACCAATATTTATGTGTTCAAATAAATAAATTCACAGAACCCACATAAGTAGATAACTTCATTGGGCTCACTATCGACTAGCTATGAATCGAATTCTTTAAAGTACTAATTAGGAATCATTACCAGTGGAATGAATTAAATCAATGGAGAAATATTAATCTTATTATAGTAATAGATCAATATCTTATTATCAAATGAAATGTGTCAGGCATAAAATTCTGTACAAGAGATAACATTTACTATTACTTTCAAATTATGATCTCAAATTGAAAACAATCAGTTATATATGAAATTACCTAAAATCTTATAATTTAATGCCCCTAATAACCGACCCGTACCACTTATATATAAACTATAGATTTAAACTACACTTAATAATTACAATTGTCAAATTAGATAACAAATCATCTAGATTTGAACTTTGAGGTTAGCCAAGACAACAAATGAAAAGAAAAGAAGCTCATTTGATGATGTTTACAAAGATCCAAACAGTAATTGATTGACAAATAATTTACAAAATATCTCTTATTACTTAATTCATTGTAAAAAGATTGTTATTATGACAGAATGACAAGGAAGTTTTTATGTTCACTTTACAAATCATATAGTATCATTAGATGTATAAATTTGTATAAGACATTGAATAAATAAATAAAGTATTACAACAATTCATTGTCTATTAGAATAAATTATCAGAAGGGATTTTATGGAGATTTTAATTGAAGCTAGACCACTAGATTTTCCATGGTGGTCTAACTTCCATCGACTCATGATTTCAACTATCGATATGAGAATAAAGTCTTTTTATTGTTGTTGTTGTTTAATTGAACCCAAAGAGTACAATGTTATAGTGGAATAGATTTTGAAATTTTTGTCAAAGAAAAAGAAAATTACAATTGCTCTAAACGAATCATTCAAGCATTACAAATTTCAATGTGAAGTATTTCAGTTAGTTTTAAGCTTGTTTTTACTTTTTATTTTTTAATTTTTTTTTTCAAAAATAGAAAACAATTTGATTAGTAATACGTAATAGAATACAATGATGAAAGAGGTTTGACTACTTTTGAATTATTTTTGTTTTGTTACAATTAAATAGATTTATTATTAAGCAATTAGTTTTAAAAAAATAAACTGGGGTTTTTGTTTGTTTGTTTCTGAGATGAAAAAGCTGAAAATATATTCACAATTGATTGATCACTGGGTGGTGATCAATGTCATCTGTGTCAAGTCCTTATTAGTGCAGATCGAATTGCTATCGACCATGTTGCAATGTAGCCACCAGTCCAGTTGACTCGACACTGCGTGCACTAATTAGAGATTAGATGGTGGTTAGAGGTAGTCGACAGGAAACCCTGGACCCGGGTTTCGTGCTATTTGGCACTAGTCAGCAAGGTGTACCTGTAATCTTGAGGGAACTGATGCTCCCGGATGGACTTGACCCCGTGTCAGCTTAATTTTGGCTTTAGATTCATTCATTTCTATTAAAATTAAGAGAATACTAACTCTATAATAATTTCAATAAGTCAGTTACTTAAACACAAACCACAATTGCCAGTTTCAAGCGTTCTCATGAAATGCCTCTTATAATACAGAAGTCTAAAGCTAATAAAATGTGTATATTATTCTTATTCATCCATCTGCTTCTTTTATTATCATCGACCTATTTTCCTCTTATACTATTATGGGGAGATGAAAATAGTAATTTAAATTCGATTTCAAAAAAATACAAGCCGAAATCCAAAGGCAGTGTAACTACTTGTGGTTGATCATCAATTTAATATTTGTAAATTAGTACAAAAGACTTCGAAAATGATCTGGCTCTTCTATCGCAATCGCAACAACAAATGCAGGAGAAGACGATCAGTGTAGCAGAAGCCTAAGCAGCAATAGGTCTCAATATACACAAAGGGAAAAGCAAGATTCTCCGATACAACACAACATGCACCAATCCAACCACAATTGACGGAGAAGATTTGGAAGATGCAAAAACCTTTACATATTTGGGCAGCATCATTGATGAACACGACGGACCTGATGCAGATGTGAAAGTGTGCATCGGTAGAGCAAGAGCAGCATATCTACAACTGAAGAACATATGCAACTCAAAACAACTGTCTGTCAACCAACACAAAGGTCAGAATTTTCAGTACAAATGTCAAAACAGTTCTACTGTATGGAGTGGAAACCTGGAGAACTTCCACAACCATCATCCAGAAGATACAGGTGTTTAACAACAGTTGTCTATGCAAAATACTTCGGATTCGTTGGCCAGACACTATAAAAAATAACGTACTGTGGGAGAAAACAAACCAGATCCCAGTGGAGGAAGAAATGAGGAAGAAGCGCTGAGAGTGGATAGGACACAGATTATGGAAAGCACCGAACTGCATCACAAGGCATGCCCTCACATGAAATCCTCATGGTCAAAGGAGGAGAGGGAGACCAAAAACACATTACGTCGAGAAATGGAGATAGACATGAGAAGAATTAACAAGAATAGGATAGAACTGGAAAGGAAGGTTGATGAGAGAGTGGGTTGTAGAATGCTGTTCGGCGGCCTATGCTCCATTGGGAGTAACAGGCTTAAGTAAGTAAGTATGATTAGTACAAAACGATTGAGATAAAGCGCTCGAATGCTGAAAACTCTAATTTTACTTTTTAATTTTGTAGAAAGATTAACATAACAAGTCCAGATTTTCAAAGTTGGGTTCACTGTAATATTATCAGGTGAAAATAAAGACTGGAATTTAATGGTTCATATATATTTATCTGATTAAAAGCATCTGAAAAAATCTGTCTTTAACTATCTAAACTAGAAGATAAAAGAGTTCAAGACATTTTCAATGTTGATCGGCTTTATTTAGAACTGGCTAATCCCTACGAGAAAAACGTCTTCACAGTTGAAATCACGAGTCTATCTAATTTAGACCAACGAAAACTTGGAAGCACTGGACAGCCGTTTCGTCTCAGTATAGGACTCTCCAGCGGGACTCGAACACATGACCTTCAGTATCGTGCACAAACGCTCAACATCTAAACCTCCGAGCCGGCATTTAACAATGTTATTGTCTAATTTTAATCAATCTATGACTTTGCGCAATCCTTCACCCCATTGCCTGTGGTAGATAACTGTCTCACACTTGACAAGGCCATCCAGTGCTTCCAAGTTTTCATTGGTGGTCTAGCTTATATCTCTTTATAATTTCACATGTGAAAATACTGCAATCTCCACCGATTCCTTTTCTGATGAAAAACCAATTAACAGTCAAATTAGTTCAAATCTATTTGTATTCGTAGATGTAATAACTGTTGAACAATTTAAAATAAATGTTTGTTTACTTGTTAAAAAGCATAAAGATTAAATTATTAATACACAAGCATCTTTAACAGGATAACTAATTAATTAATGAATTTGAATCACTCCATAACTTTTAGATGTTACTTCTCTTTTTATGTTACATTATAAAATATCATTAAATGTGATTGACTGATTTATTCATTATTATCGTCATTACCATTATTACTATTATTACCAGTATTATTATTGTAAGTTAAAAACAAAATTAATTTTTTTAATTTAAGCTAGATCACCATTGAAAACCTGGAAGAACTGAACGGACGTTTTGTCCTAGTATGGCACTCATCAGCAGCACACATCTCCTGACTGATTAAAGTTAGACATGAGCACCGTTGGATGCCAGCTATACTTTAAACGTTATCACCCGAGGCATTAGTTCTTGTATTTGGGTCCCGAGTGCGGGGTTGTGGATATGCACTGCTGAGGAGTCCCATACTAAGAGGAAACAATCATCCAGTGCTTTCAAGTTTTCAGTGGTGGCCAAACTTTGATTGACTCATAAATTCAACTATTAAAATTAATGCAATCCTCATTCTGATAAAAATGACATCATGGAAATCATTTTTCTATCTTTATATTCATTAGTAGCAAACGTTTTATAACCAACGTTTTTCAAATATATTTATTAGTTGAAGATAGACTGGATTATGTAAACGTTATATTTACAGAAAGTTTATATAATCAAGGTAATATTCCAGATTTCATAGTTTTTGCTTAATCCGATAGAAATAAAACTTTATTAAGGTTCGTGTAACAGAATTGACAGAATCTATGCATGAAGAAATATTTAAAAAATGAAATGGTATAGTTAAATGAAACATTGGTACAGAAAAGACACCCTAAATGATTGTTTTTTCTGTAGAAAACCCCTGAATTTTCAACTGGAAGTAAATGTCAATATAACCACACTAGTCAGATGTTACTCAAATAGTATTTGTGTTGAAGTGAAGACTTAAAACAGAGATAAGTTGATTATATTACACACCTCAAATCGTCGTAATTCTAAGAACAAAATTCGTGTATATCAAAAAACTAACCATCATATCAACTATCTAGTCGAATGTCATCATATTTATCAAATTAAATATGTGTTTGGATACACACAAACGAAAGAGGAACCTCCGTATACCACTAAAGGTTGTTGCACAAGGATTTAAATTGTTTCAGAAGCAAATATAGCTCACCGATTTCGTTTGACCGAGTGACAGATATCTAGTTTCCCTTATTATCAGAATTACAAGAAAGACTAACCAGAGGATTGGTTTGTAAAAAGCCTTTCGGTACTCCTTAGATTTGTTACTTATGAACTTAAAATGGTGGCTTCTATCAATTTTAAAATTGTCAGATTTACTGCTTACATTTGAAGGAAGATATTTTGTTAGGACTACCAGATTCTCAAAGTAAGCGTTTTATGCTAAACACATCAAACATTAGTGGTACATTACAGAATTTAGAGGTCAAAGATAAACACACGTTTATTAAGTTTAAAATGCACATTCCTAGACTGAATTTGTTGTTGATACCACAATAGTTTTCATGTTCAGCTTTGACAATCGTTTATTTTAGACAGAAATTGATATTTATGTGGTAGATTATATTTTGTTTCTGGTAAGCGGGTCCATACATTTTCGATGAGATTTAACGTAAGTCATTTCAATTCAGGCAGTGTATAGTTTCGTCTAATATTTTTTTCAATGTTTCACACTCGTTTAAGAAATCTAACCAGACCTTCTATAACCACATGAGCCTTGTTTTCTATACAAATAAGCATTTATATTTGATTGTAGACTAAACAGAGCGCTAGAAGCGTAATTGGTAACCGATCGTATTTTGAGAGTTTGCTGCTTGACAGAATATGCACAATTATTACAAGCTTTCAGTATCCTTATGTTAGCCAGAATAAGGGTTTTACTCTAACCTTAAAGATGTCTTGATAGAGAAGCTCTGGAAGAGGTGGAAACCTTCACGTATCATCAATGAACAAGGAGGATTTGATGGAGATATGGATGCAATGATTGACAAAGCGGAAGCTGTATTTCTATAGTTGAAGTATATATGGAACTCAAAACAACTGTCTTGAAGCCATCATCAAACTCACAATCTTCAATACGAACGTTAATGCAGTTCTACTGTATGAAGCTGGAACTTGGAGAACTACCACAACCGTCATCAAAAATGTACTCGATGTACGTTGACCGGATACCGTCAGCAACAGCCTACTGTGGAAGAGATCAAGCAGGCTTCGAACTGAAGATGAAATTAGGAAAAGACGATGGGAGTGTATAATGCATACAATACGGAAATCACCAAACTACATCATGAAGCTAGAGATAACTTCGAGTCCTGAAGGGAAATGGGAAATTGAAATACTAAAGAACGCACTCTGTCGAGAATTGGGAGCAGACTTGAAAGGAATGAATAGCAACTAGGAAGAACCGAAAAATAGTGCCCAGTATAGAGTTAGATGGAAAATACTGGTGGGTGGTCTATGCCTTTCCACGAGAGGGAACAATCGTAAGTAAATAAGTATGCTAAAGTTGCCTCTTAGGTGGCTCAGCTGATATTCTAGAGAACTTTATATTAGGAGAAAATATAATTAAGCACATCAGAATCATTGAAAGCGCTGTTTGGGATAATGATGTAAATATTATATAAACGGTCTTAATTTTTGAGAATGTTGGGGATATGGGATCAAAATAAAAAATGGCTCTTAGTTCAGCACTATCAACAATATAACATATTTCAAAATGTTCCAATCCTTAGTTCAAACCTTACAAAAGCACTTTCAATACAAAACGTTTGGACAACATTCTAAGTATAGAACTGTTAATTTTCCCTAGATATCCATTCATTCTAATTAAACAGGCTTTCTACTTAAATACTGAATAACGTTAATTGAAGTCAAAAACGTTTCAGTAGATTTAATTAATATGAAAATTAAAGCACATTTAATTCATTTATAAACCGTAGTATGAAGTATTTCTTGGCTCAAATGAAGTTTCCTCTCTATTTAATCAAATATTATAATAACCATTAATATTATTGTAGGTGTTACTATTATTATTTACTAAAGTTATTACTTATCTGTAAACATTTACTACAATTATATTATACTCAACTGTTATATTATTTTATATTAGATAAGCAATTTTGAGTATTTAAAGAAGTTATGTATTACATAAAGTATATTCATTTATTAGAATGAATTATACTGATAAGCTTTGGTAAACTATTCAATACAAATTTAATTGAAAAATGATTCTATCAACAAAACTGTAACTCTTTTATAATATAAGCTCCTTTCAACGTTGTTATGCTCTTATATGGTTAGAATGCAGAGCATATGAGTGAATACTTTTATCTAACACGATAATGAATTTCAATTACTTGGTATTATTTGGCTTTTGTCTTCCAATTGAGGTTTAAGACTGCAATTGATCGGTCTGTTATTGGCATATGTACATACTGTGCTTATGCCTCGATACTGCCTGAATTCACAAGCGTTTTGTAAGCAATGATGGATAGTGGCTAGCAGTGGAATCTAGAACGCGCGTCTTGTTCTATTTAGGACTCGTCAGCTGGATGTACCTGCATCTCAGAGTTGATGTTCACTCTGGGACAAGCAAGTGGCTATCAGGACTCAGTAGCTGAGTGGATGACGCGATGGCGTTTGAAGCGAATGGTACTGGGTCCGAGTCCCAGAGTGAACATCAACTCTGAGATGCAGGTACATCCAGCTGACGAGTCCCAAATAGGACGAGACGCGCGTTCTGGATTCCACTGCTAGCCACTATCCATCATTGCTTACAGAATTTCAGTTACGTTTACATAAAATGTTATTTTCTTTTTTTTTGTTGCTAGTACATATTTCAAATAAACAATTAAAAAGTTCTGTGTTGTTTAAACTGAGATCTATTGTAATCTTAAAATTCTCAACAAAAGCAATTCCATTTTGTAACCTTGATAGTTAAATATTGGTATTGTAAACACTATAAGAAAGTAAATAATTACAGTAAGAATGTATTTATAAAACAAATCATTTATCAATTAAAACTTACGAACTAAATGCACGTGGTCTATTGTCTTCTTCATTTGAAAGATAATAATAATACAATTGATGAAGACCACAAGCAAAGGAAGAAATTACTAAGAGAAAGATGAAAATGAATTTTGTAATATCAATTAACATATTTCCAAGTGAAATTTGTAATGGTCCAAGGTGTTCATTAATCTGAAAAATAATATTATAGAAAAAAATAGTATCTATTTTATCAGTTACTGTAGACACGGATGCATATGTATAAATTAGAACTAAAAAATTAGACATTCACACGTCTGCTGTAGTAAAAATAAATCAAGACCTTATACAATTACACTCTTATCAAATTTTAGTGTTTTTTGTAACGACTAATGTCATTCCTCTTTTCAAGTGTGATATTATGAAACGATTTTAGTTAGATAATCAAAGAAAAACATCATGCGCTAGACATTTGTTCTGTTTTAATATGGAATTCCTCAGAAGTGTTTTGACCACCATTCCAATGAGTATCAATCACAAAACCATAAGACCTCTGATCCTCTCATTCTACAATTTATTTGCCTGGAACTAAATAGTTATCCAGAGCTTCCTGGTTTTAAGTGACTGTCTTAGATCAGTTCACAATTTAAAGTACCAAATTTTAACACTCTTCACAACACCAAGTAACAATATTCTTCTATATCATCACTAAGAGCGCATCGTTAATGATAGGTTTCATTTGATATAATTTTCTTCAAATTACATTTTGAACAAGTATGGGTGCCATTGTTTATCCTATTCTTGTCGATTTAGTTTTTAAAAAAAATAAATAAAGTTAAAACAAATTTAATATATGATAATTTAATCAAAAAAGTAGCCCAGCAATTAGATTTTCATTTCATAAGCTAGTAAATGACTTACAAAATATCTCATTCTATAGTCTTTTATCAGTATAGGGGTTGTGGAGATTATTGAGTTTTCGATTGAGATCATGAACCGATTGATGTTAGACCACCGTTGGAAACCATGAAGCACTGAACGGTCGTTTCGTTCTATTGTGGGACTCCTCAGCAGTGCCCATCGATGATCCCGAACGCGGTACTCGAACCCAGGGTCTTCAGTCCCGCGCACGAACTCTTAACCTACTGGACCACTGAGCTGGCCGGCATCCAGTCGTGCTAGTGTCTAACATCATCCAATCCATGAAATTGCGCGACCATCTTCCATTGTACCGAGGTAGATACCAGTCTCTACCCGATACGAATTAGTTCCACTGTTGGAGCTACCTCAGTCCAATGGAAGATGGTCGAGCCGTCTCGTGGATTGGTTGATGTTAGACAATAACACCATTGGATGCCGACTCAGCGTTAGCGCGCGAGACTATAATCTTTTAGTTAGAAAAACAATTTTACTTAATTACCCAGTGGAATAGCTAACCATACAATTAACATCAAACTGGTTGGCTAATACCAAATGTAAATAAATATAAAACATTACGTCTGGTATAACAAATGTTTATTTTCCTCGTGAAGACAACAGTGTGGTGTGTGCCACTTATGTTGACAGATATAAGTCGTATGTAACATCAGTCGAAAGTTAAATGTCTAGAAAAAGAAGGTTGGGTAGATCGAATAAGAGAGAAGATGAGCAAAGAGTGATTGATATGAAAATGAAGGAACAATAAAGTCTGAGACAGTTCGAATCTCGAGAGGCAGGATCGTGGATGCGCACTGCTACGATGAAACGGCCATTCAGTGCTTTCAGGTTTTTCATGGTGGTCTAGCTTCAATTGACTCATGAATTCAATTATTAAATTATTATAATCTCCACAAAACCCCTCTCTGATTATAAATTATGAACATTTTGTTTACTCTTCTAATAAATAACTGTTTTCCCTTAAATAATTTATAAGATATTTATGATAAATTATAGAGATTTCGTTTGTTTTCTACGAGAAAGTTTGTAAACATATTTGTTTTCAAAGAGAAAAAAAAGTGAATTCAAATGTAAACATAATTTTAACTGTCTCAAGTTGCAAATTCCCCAACCTCCCGCCAAAAATATTTAATCCTAAATGTAATTCGATCTTAGTTGAATGAAGAAAAAGAGGAATGATAAAATGATTCACATTTAGGGTTTTATTTTAAATCCTCAAAATTTGGTAAGTGTAAAGAAGTTATAACATAGGATACTTGTATTATTGTATAAATATAATCAATACCCTGAACTGATATGATTAGTGTTGTTAATGAGGAGTATTAATTAAAGGTGCAATACCTCCAATGATAGGATAACAAAAAAACTTGAGCTTTTTCCTACAAAATGAAACTGCACATTGATATCTAAAGTATTTGATACATAAATAAAGATGAAAAATTCACTTTAAAAACCTAAATGATTGCAATAGGTGTGGCACACAAACCGACAAAATCACTACAATCAATCTTATGCAAACCAAAAGATGAAATAACAAAGAAAAACAAATCAAACATCATCTACAAGATAAATTGTGCCAACTGCGAAAAACACTATATCGGACAAAGTGGACGCCCTCTTCACCTTCGCCTACATGAACATCAATCAGCAGTCAAACGGCATGATATCTCCTCACTTATCTCAATACACGTGGACAACTGCGGACACTCATTCGACTGGAAAAATGTGGAAATCTTAGACAGAGGAAACTCCAAAAACACCAGAGAATTTTTAGAAGCCTGGCACTCAGGTCAATCAGCAATCAACAAGCATATTGAAATCAATCCAATTTGTCAACCAATCAGAAAAATCATGCACAAACATAAGAACAAAAATCAAAACAATGGGAGACACAACCAAAACAAAGAAGTAAACAATGATAAATTTAAGGTCAATAAGAACCAATCAACGTCAAGGTGCACAGAACAAGCTGTGAAACACATGTGGAGAAATTTGAACACTTCACTTCTGTCTGAAGTTTGTGCTGATGATGTCGTTCAGAAGAACGATGAAAGCTCCACGACCAAACCATCCAGCTCAGAGAACAAAACTTCACCAAGATTGCAATAATCAAACTGTCTAAGTTATTCACTAGTTAATGAACCTTAGACCTGACCATGAGTTAAAATTCTTGACATGTAAATCAAAAAGCTTCATATAACTGGTTGGTTCTAATGTTAACATTGAATCCAACAGAAAACTGAACCAAATACCATTTTGACTCATAATGAACAATGCTGAGAAACTTCATGTTCCATTATTTCTCGTCAGTTTATGGTGAAACCATCTTTTCAGCGTGAATACTGTTGAGTTAAAGTTGAATTTAAAATAGTTACTTTCTTATTATGAAAATAAATCCTTCAATCTCATAGAATATTTAAAGATTGTTATCTCGTATCACTTTCTTAACTGTTTCATTGTATCAACTTTGTTTATAAGATTAATTTTATTTGTGGATAATCTCCACATATGAACCAGTTTTTTTAGGCATATTTTATTATTAATAATCGGGACAAGAAGCTATATTTGTTATATTTAAAACTTTAGACCGGAATGAAAAAAAGTCTGTCTTAGTGTTAATAATTGGTTCAGATATATCTATCCAAAAGTTTGATTTTGTGCATTATACACTATTTGTATATGATTGTAAACAGTGAAGATGGTCACTATTAAATTTTATAGTTGTTATACTGAAAGGAAATTAGAAGATGTATATTTAGAGTCCGACTGTTTTTGTCAATTGTTATATGAAGCAGACTGTTCAGTTTAATTATTGCTTAATAAAACCTTGTTAATTAAAATTCTGCTTATTAATTTCTAAAGGGTAATTTTGTTTACCAACAAGTGAAGTGTAATACTGGTTGGCATAAGGATAGGTTATCAATAATCTTGTAAAACGTATACCAGGACATGACAGTGATCTGTTAATCTTTTTAACTGTTATTCTAAGGCGTGTACATAGGTGCAAGCAAACTGATCAATGCACTCATAATCTTTGTTTTTAGTGATTGAAAACTTGAATGTAAATCCATTTTTTGTATAACTGATATATGAATATAAGAGACAATCACTCTATATGTTTTTCCTTATGGCTGTTACTCTGACATAATGTTGTTAGGTTATTTCTCCTTGAATGAATATTACTTGTATTGTGATAATTGAGTTTCATCAGGTGTCTGTACTAATTGGAAACAGCACCGTTCATGTACGATTAGTATTATTTGTACATACATTTTTCTCACAAAATTTTTCCTGTACAGTTTTGAAAGTCTTTCGCGTGGTTCTAAAAAAATTGTAGGCAATTTTCGTCTTTTAGGTTATTTGAAATCGGGAGAGCGACACAAACACCGGAATATATTAAAATCTGGATTTAACACTTGAGCTAATTAAAAGATGAGTAATAATATCTTAATTATTTTAATTATATATCCATGAAGTCACTGACAAGTGAACTGAGTCATGTTGGTAGGTGTAGACTACCTGGTTGGGGACCGCGAGATGACAGCAACCGATGGTTAGAGACCCTGAATGACATGGCTCAAAATCGTTCGCAATGGCGCAGGTGCATCCACTCTCTGTGTTCTCCCAAACTCTAATCTTCTGAATTCTTCATGTCCCTTTTTCCCTCTTTCCAAATTTCTTTCACTGGATTATACTCTTTAAATAACATCTCCAAACCCTAATCTTCCCGATTACTGCTTATACTCTTGCTACCTCTACCACTACGGGATTTGAATCGACCACTGCATCTCTGTGCTAATGTGGTGTGGCAACTCGAACTGATGTACGTACGTACGATGTTCTACGTTGTTACTGACTGACTGACTGATATATCCTGCGTTTATGTTCATTCCCTACTTTTCATTCTTCCAGTTATCACGTTATTTTGAGATGATTTTGCAGGGTTTATATTTCTGTTACGATTTAAACTATTTTCAATCATGTGCTTCTCATCTCCTTTATGTTTTTCCCGGCTATGCTAATGTAATATGTGACAACTTGATCCTATTACACATGACATCCAGGTTATAAATTGATTATGAAGAATCGATATTAGGAAATTAACATTCATCTAACCACATAATGGACTACCTAAAACGTTTCACTACTGTATTTTTACTAATATGTTATCACATAGTAATTTAAAATAAACCTCAACTTATTAACCATTTGAATAAATAATGATTTCTCAAGCTCTACATAATAAAGCTACATCTAGATTTGATTATCCATAAGTT